TCCCCAGCCAGCAAAGCTGGCTGGGGAATTCTGGGAGTTGAAGTCCTCCAGGCTTAACGTTACCAAGGTTGGACACCCCTGTTCTAGATGGAGGTGACTTACGGCAGGTCTTCCCTGTCGATTTAGGGATTTATAGGCAATAACCTAAAACATTTGAATTAAGCTTGGCAAGTTGCTGGTAGGGTTCATGCCTCCCACATCAGCTTTCCTCCTTGACAGACAATTGACTTGCTGAATTTCAGCGGCACAGTCTTAGTGGGTCACTGGAGACTACAGGTGGCCAGAAGCTGCCTACTTGAGGTAGACCAGAAATGTTGAAGGCCAGCAGAGGTTGCCAGGTGTAATGGTGAAGTCAGTCCGGGGGTGGGGGTGGGGTGGGATGGGGAAGCTGTGCATTGCAGCCCTGGCCCTCACCTCACTCTCAATCTGCTGCTTCAGGACCAACTGCTGCTCTTTGTGTTGATTGGCTCGGCTAACTTGTTCTTCAATGCTTGAAAGGACAACTTCGCAGCCCTGGCACCTGGGAAGGACCAGTAAAAGTTGAACAAGCAGGAGACCAACAAAGCAACTAAGAGAGCAAACAGCATTGAGCAGAAGCTCATAAATCTTGAGATTGGGAGATCCAGAAGACAGACTGGCTCATGGGCACCCAAGAATTAGGAGAACCATCAAGGAGATGGGCATGATAATGTCATGCAAATCTCATGACCTTAGTGCTTGCATCAGATGTTGAGATCCAAGCACTTAATGGCAGCATTCACTTGATGATGAGTGGATCTCTCTCTCTCTCTCTCTCTCTCTGTGTGTGTGTGTGTTTTAGCATCATTGTATTTTGTGCTGTAGACCCCACTGGAGAGACTTCAATTGAAAAGTGGTGTGCCAAGTGTTCTCATAGCAAGGGAAGGAGTGAGGGGTAGGAGAAACAGTTCTTGGAGAATGAATCTGTCTCCACAGACATCTATACTTTGGCAAGATCACCACACAGGCATACAACTCTCTTCCCATCAGTGAAAAGCATTTTTCTAAGAGTAGGATCAAGTTGAATGCATACCAAGATTTTAGAGGTACAGAAAAAAAAAATGTAAAGAATCTTGGCTTTCACTTTTAAAAGACAAAAAAGTGGTTGGACCTAAGACCAAATTTCTAGTTTATGGAAACGCTTATTTACAATGTTTTGCAACATTTGATAAAACTCGTACATTACGTGGGGGGAGGTATATTTCTATCAACAAAAAATATAACTTCAGTGTCTTTAGCATCCCTAATTGCCTCCTACTCCACTTTTAAGGTACATAAAAGTAGGATAAATTATGTTAATGGATGTAACTTATAGACCAATTCACAGGGCACCAAATCCTGGTATTAATACTGCATACAGGTAGTCCTCACTTAACCACCTTTTGTTCAGTGATCATTTGAACTTACAACAGTGCTGAATTAAGGGACCTACAGTAGATCCCTCTCTAGTGTTGAAGTGCTCCCCAAGGTCAGAGGAACAAAATTTGGCCCACCTAGACTTACTGTCCCTCTTGCCACCAGTTCCTCCCCACCTCCCACTTCCCAACAGCTGATCTTCATCATTGCCTTTGCCTGCCTCCCCACTGCTGGGTTCACCATCCTGGCACGGACAGGTGGAAGTGTTGTGGAAGTGTTCCACAGACGGGCGGGCGAGTGCTACAGGCAGACAGGTCTGTGCTGTGCCACATGCCACTGGGGTCCTTCTTTTGGGAGCTGGCCAGGACTTCCCTTTGAAGAGGAAAGACTTGGCCAGCATGCAGAAGGTGACCAGCGCAAAAGAAGGATCTGGCTGATGCACAAAAGGATGCTCTGGCCGGTTCATGAAAGGAGAACCCGGCCAGCAGTGGTATGTGGTGCACTGTGTACAGTGACAAGCAGGGTTGGGCTTGTCACTGTAGGAGGCAGCTGGTGACGGTTGTCAAAAGGGCAGAGATGGGGAAGAGCTGGGTGAATGGAGGAAGTTGAAGTGGAGGCAATCACTTCTCTTCCTCCAAAATTGGCTGGGATCTAGGTGGATCCTCGCCGAATGACCATGTGCCATGAACAACATGTGGGATTGCTAGAACTGCTGTCAATAAGCAGAGGGGCCCCCGCCTTGAGGTTTTGCTTAGTGACAGAGTTGCCAATCCCAGTTAGGGTTATTAAGTGAGGACTATTTTATATAAGTGATAAAAAGCCCTTCGTTCATCCTTGCCAAGCCGCGTGATGCTGGTTAGGAGACTGTCGTCCCGAATGGGGCCCCATGATCAGCACCCATCTGGCTTCTTTCCACATATGCAGCAGAGCCTGAGAAGGTCTGTTGGGCTTCTTTGACTTTGTTAAGATGTATCTTCCCAAGTTTTCACAAGACCGAAGTCTTCCTTACCATTCTTGGAGCGTGCGTGTAATGATACTGAGTTCCTCTCTGCGGATGTCCCGGCCAATGCTATAGTCCACCTCTAACCGCTGGTTGCGCTGGTCCAGGCTCCCTCGGAGAACATCGGCATACACCGCCTCAATCACCAAATCCTCCAGTTGCCGCACATTCTTCAGTTGGAGCTGCTCCAACAGTACAGAATAGGGGATGCACTGCAGAGGCACACAAGCCGGGGTTAAGTACAACGTTGGTTTGTTTGCATTCATTAGCCACCCAATTCCAGAGGGCTTCTAAACTAGGAGCAGAATAGGCAAGAAAAGGGGTAGGTAGGCTACCTTCAGCTTAGAAGCCAAAGTGACTACGGACAGGTGGCGCAGTTTGTTCTTCTGAGCTTCTGTCAAGGGAGGCAGATTCCCAGCTTCAGCTGTTCACAGACCAAAAAGAAACAAGAAATATTCCTTCAATTCCTCACTACCTTTGCTGGATAAGATCCCATCCCCTTTTTATACAGTTAAGCATTCTTCCAATTTTTTTTTTTTCTACTTCTCATGACAGATTCAGGCACCCTACACCCAGACCCATTTTTTTCTCCTCCTCAAATAGAATAGAAAGTTTAAGTCAAACAGTCAAAATTTGCTTAGACAACATGCACAGTGTTTACATAAATGTCCAGTAATCCTATGCAAATTCTTCCTTCTTTGGGGGTCTAGAGTTTAAACATACAAATTAGCCACTTAAGACATTTACAAAACCAATAGACTCTAATTCTGAGAGCACACTCTCCCAGTAAAAATAAAAATGTGGTTGCCAACCACAAGGCAGCCCTCTCCTTATGCACTACAAATACTCTCCATCCATTGGGACCTCACCCAAAGATCCTGGATAACAAACAGGAAATTAGAGAAAGCAGGATCAAAGGAGTGAGGCAATTACACATTATGGGCCAGCTTTAGTCTCCTTTCAATGTCCAGCAGTTTCTTTCTCAACTCCATGAAACGTTTAGTCCATAGGGAGGAGGGATTCAGCATTGAATGACTTCATATTATCCAAACCCTGCTATGAAGCATTGCTTCATTTTTGTTTTCTTGGTTCTTCCATCTCTATTGGCAATTTTCTCTACCATTCCTGTTTCTTAAGGAGAAAATAAGACATACCCAGGTAATCTGAATACGTCCCATATGCAAAGACTGTAAGCAGGCGGAAAACAGGTGAGAACTCACTTTCAGCTAGCTGTAGTGGGACAGAAAACAACTACAGTTATTTGAGAAATGACTAAAAAAAAATCATTTTTTTTGCGTTCATGGAATCTTTCACATCAGAATAATTTTGCTTAGTTATTAAAGAAACTTAATTTTCTCTCTTTCCCACATAGAAAACACCAGCACACAGCATGCAAGAAGGAAATGTTGGTGGCCCACCTTGTGAACATGTACATCCCGGGTAAACAATAGATCTGGCTTTCATCAATATGGTGAGCCTCTGCCCACTCTGTACCACTCAAGAAAATTATGGAGGAATTGATATAATGTACTATTTTGCCTAGAATTAAAAATACCTGATATGCACGTAGAAAAATATTGGATAGAGGGAAATGTTCTCGCCTATTTGCTCTTAGACATACAGCATAGTTTTATATACGGAGAGTTGTTATTGTTAAATCTATTTAATGTTATGAGTCGCCATCTGTCATCCCAAATGGTATAATCATGTATAATTTTAGTACAAACAATTTTATAGAAAATCTTTAAAACAGCCTATTTGTTTCCTTCTGTGCAGTGTTCTTGTGGAGGGAATGCTGCAGTTTACAAATGCTCAAAACCAACATAAATATCTAAGGAAAAAAAAGGAATAGATTTATAGAGGAAAATAACCCTGTATTTCTCTCAGAAATAAAGGAAGGTTATGGATAATTTTGTATAACATTTACCTCTCCATCTAGCTCCTCTCCCAAAAATGTGTTATAGAAAAAAGGTGGGAATTTTTTATACATCACCAAAATCTGTCTATTATTCAGGTCATTGACATTCAGAGGTTTTGTAGACTTCACAAAAGCAAGGTTTGTGTGCCAGGTTAAAAAAAAGTGAACCCTTTTAAGTTCCCATATTCCATTGAACAAATCACCTAAGAGAAATACAGGGTTATTTTCCTCTATAAATCTACTTGGACTGCTATAGCATGAGCCGTGGTGGCGGCGCAGTGATTAGAATGCAGTACTGCAGGCAACTTCTGCTGGCTGCTGGCTGCAGTTCAGCAGTTCAATTCTCACTGGCTCAAGGTTGACTCAGCCTTCCACCCTTTCAAGGTTGGTAAAACAAGGACCCAGATTATTGGGGGCAATATGCTGACTCTGCTTAGAGAGAAGAACTTAGAGAGGGCTGTAAAGCACTGTGAAATGGTATATAAGTCTAAGTGCTATTGCTATAGTTTGGGAACCACATATTTCAAACCACTATGTTTCATGACACATTTTTAATAAAGTTAAGGACCCCACACTATTTTCTTTTTTATTATCATTGTAAGCCTTTCTTTAATTATAGAAAAAATGGCCTATGAACCAAAAATATTTAGAGGAATTCCGTGCAAGGGCCTACAACATTACTTTTCTTTCAACCCTTTTTTTCCACCATGTAATCATCAAATCTTTTAATTAAAGGTATATATTTTTAGGGGGATTCATGCCTTTATGGAGGATTGGGAAGCATTCAAAGAGACACATCCCATTTAAAGGTGGTACTGGGTAGATCTATTACAAATATATATTTACCTGGCATAAATACTGGCATTTTAAAATTCAGCATACAGAAAGATCAAGCAATTCTGTTTAGCCTGAGCAATTACAATCCCAGACAAAAATCCTAAATGACTTTAGGAACCCCCCGTGGATTACCAAATTCAGTATGAAAAGCATTCACTTAAAAGCAAATTTATTCAGTGCTTCAATAGAAAGACGATTACTCCATTTTACACAAGAATTTGTCAAAGGAAGTCACACAGAAACCTGAAGCTGCTCATTTATAGAGCAGAAAGAACATGTTTCAAAGGATGTGTGAACCAATGGTTCTGCTTTAAAGCATAATCTACGACTTCAAATTATCCTAAAGTAGTTATAATAGCAAGACAGTGCTAAGAAAGGCTGTCTTGTAGAACAGAGGCACCAGGGGTCATATAAACCTAGAAAGGATAAGGCCCTTCTATTTTCCATCAGGCCTTTGGAAGGCTGTACATATAGAACCGAGGTCTTCACCCCAGGAGTCTCAGTGCTCACCTCTTGTACATTTGGCATATCAAGAAGCTCTCCAAAAACATAAATACCAGGGGCTTCCAGCACTTGATGAATGAGGCTGGCCAGAGCAGCTCCGCGGGCAGATCGTGCCAGCAGTAGAAACTGCTCCTGATTCTGCCCAGACACCTTCACTTCGGCTGCCATTGGGCTAGGCAATCAGAATGGTTCAGGACTTGCAGCCCCCACCACCTAAAGGCATAAACAAGTATAACAACTGGAGCTTCTCTTATTATCCTGAAGCATCAGAGAATAAAGTGTAGCTACTGCACCACTCGGATATTTATTTATATGATTTATACATCACCTAGGACCAAACAAACTAAAACAAACAAACAAACAAAGGATCTGGGCGACTCACAAGATCCAAAAGTCCCACTGCAATAAAATACAGTACAATGAAATGCAGTGGTGAAGTTATCAGACTATCCGTAGACATTCACACATATATTTAAAATATGAATATGTATATATTCAGAATATGAAAATACAGAGACACAGAAATACAAGACATTTTGGAGCAGCCAATTCCTGGTATACTTGCTCAGTGTCTAATACAGTTATCAGTTCCAGGACACAACTTAATGTCAATAATTTAAGAGAGCGAAAGCGTCCCCCCCCCCCACTACTCTTTAAGTTAACTCTCTCCAAGAAATGAAGGTTGTTATACAGGAATGTAGATTTTTACCCTCGTTCAGACGACTGTCTCTGGGCACACACGTGCTGACTCAAGGCTGTGCATGAGTGTAAGCAAGTGTAATTCTGCCAAACGGTCAGCGTGAGCAGGGCCCGGACTCGGGCCAGGAAAGAGGAGGTACACGGAGAGCGACGAAGCGTTTTACGCACAGAAGACAACACAAGGGGAGAAAAGGAAGGCAAAGAAGCTGCGGCAGGGGAAGAGGAGAGAAGCGCACGAGAGCCGGTTCAGGAAAGCAGACCCATCTTCTTCAGGTCACGTTGGCCAAAAGAGAAGAGTGGTGGAGAGCAAGGGAAAGGGCCCCTGCTGCTGCGTCTCCCCACCATCAGATCCAACCGGGCTCCCTAACTGTCCCAGAGCAGCCCTGCCTGCCTGCCAGCCTGCCTACCTGAGGGTCCCCTTCCCGCTGGGAGCGGCTGCTAGGAAAACCTCCAGCCAAGAGCTCTCGACCACTTCCGGGTTGGTGGCGTCACAGCTGCCCCTCAAACCCCGCCCCTTTGACCTCTCATTGGCCAGCTCCCCCCTAGGAGGGCGGGCCTCACGGCGAAAGCTTTCTAAGCGGCTGCTACGCTCTCCGGGCCAGTCTTCGCGCTTCCCTCGGGCCGGGGAGCCGTGTGCCGGGGCGCCCCTCTTCCCCCTGGTTTCCCCGAGCTCCACGCCCGCAGTAGCCAGAAGTCTTCACTTGTTCCTCGGCCACTGACCTTCCCCGCGTTAGACAACGCCGACTTTGGTTCATCGTCCAACAAATCCACCTCCTTCCGAAATCACCCCGTGGTCTCTTATCCCCCGGGGGCGGGCGATTGTAGAAAGAAGCAGGCTTGCTTCGGAACAAAACCCACGCACGTCCATGACCACGAGAGGGGTTTGTTTGTTTTTCCCCCCCTCCCTCGAGCTTCCAATTAAAATAAAAGAGCTGGGCTCGGCAGAGAAATCTCGTCCGGTTCTGCCGCCGGCGCCCTCCGTCCCTGCCTTCCATCTCCGGGGAGCGGGTTTTGAAAACAAAAAGCTGTATGGTAACTCAAAAGGGATGGGTGGGTTGCGTTTTTCCAGGAGATCCTGAGATTAAGAGGGTGGTGGTTTTATGTTACTCGTTGCATTTGTATCATGGTTTTAGGTGCCCACTGCCTTCTACGCCAGAAAGTCGGAAAAACGTGAGCAAGAATGAAAAGCGCAGAAAGATCGTGCGATTATTTCACTTGCCTGCGTTTTGTCTTACTGGTGGTAGCTTTTCCGGTAGGAAAAATGGAGAGGGGTGGAGGAGGCTTGGGAATAGAGCAGGGGTGGGCAAACTTTTTGGCTCGGGGGCCGCATTGACTTTTAAAATTTGACAGACGGGCCGGGTCAGCACAAGATTTTTTGGGAATCGCCCTCCCCTTCCCCCCTTCTCCTCCTTCCCCTCCCCTCGGAGGCCCCCTGAGTCAGGAGTTGCTACCGCCGGTGCAGCTCCGCACGGCTCCAGTCCCGCGTTGCCTCGGGAAGGGAAAGGCAAAAAGGAAGAGCCATGGCGGTGCTTTGCAACGGCAGCAGCGGCACCGGAGGCTTAGGCTCAGCGGCTCCTGGTTTTGCCTTTTCCTTCCCAAGGCAACGCGGGACTGGAGCCGCGCGGAGCTGCGCCGGCGGTAGCAACTCCTGACAGCCCCAGCCAGACACCTGAGCGGAGCCCGGGCGGAACTGCCTGTTGCTGCTGCCGGAGCACCGCCGGGTCGCCTCCTCCAAGCAGCCCGCCCGCCCGCCGGGCTTCCCCTCCGCTGCGCGGCTCTGGGCCAGGCGCGAGCGCCCGCGAGGAAAAAGGAAGCCGCAAGTGGCTAGGAAGTTGCTCAGCTGCTGGAAGCAGGCTTTTAAAGTGCCGCCCGAGCAGGACCGCTGAGCCGGGAAACGGGGCACCAAGGCAGGGCAAGGCTCCACCAGCAGCGGCCTAGCTTTTGGTGGCTCCAAGCAGCCCGCCCGCCCGCTGGGCGGAACCCTTCCCGCTCCTCAGCCGGAAGACGCTCCCGCCTGCAAACTTTGCCTTTGCAAAGTTTAAGCCTGGAAGCCCCAGAAAAAAAAGGGATCGGCGGGGATTCACCTTCAGAGAGGTCGCACTCGAAGGTGATTTCGAACTCCCAGCCGAGGCCTTTGCAAAGTTCTTCTTTTCTTTCCTACCCCGAGAGCGCTCCGCACTGTTTTGCAGCTTTGGGGGCCACGTGGCGCAGGGCAATACGCCACGCCCAGCTATTTTTTTTCAGGGGCGGGCCGGATTGGACAGACCAACGGGCCGGATGTGGCCCGCGGGCCGTAGTTTGCCCACCCCTGGAATAGAGGCATCCAGTAAGGAAGGCCTGCATCTTTTGAAGCAGTGAGGAAAGGGGGTAGAAATGGAAGTTTTGAAAAGAATGGGAGCATCTTCTCACCACTCGTTAGCTTCGATTTCCCAAGTATAATACAATATTTCAGTATGCATGGAACTGTAAAACAGATTGTAACACTTTTCGAGGTGATTCCAGGTAATTTGGGGGGGGGAAGGAACCTCACAAAAGTAATAGAAGCAACTGAAACTAGAATTGTGCATGTTATACCATGTTATAATTGTGCATATTATACCATGTTTCTAATCATGCCTGATGGGTAGATGTTGCAGCAGAGATCATTCCCCACTGTCAGCCTTAATGGTATCAAACATTTGCTGCCAGGGGCTGCTTGTCTTCATCTGCTGAATGGTCAGGCAATCTTTGACTGTTTGTGTGCATGCATGGGTATGCCCACTGTCTTCATGAGAAGATATATTTGGCATGAACACCCAAATAAAATGTGAATTCAGATAAATGGCTCCTTGGTTTCTCTCCCATTCTGCAGCATGGTAGCCATGGTAGTCTTTTGCTAACTCTGGTGCCATCTCAAATACTAGCTTATCTTGTCTAGCATGAGGTTTCCAGAGCTGATTTCCAAAGCAATGCTAAGGCCAAAGCAATGCAAAAGTCTGCAATATATTTCTCACGTTACTAGGTAGACACAAATGAGGAAAATAACCTTTCAGAGGAATAAGAGGATCCAATGGAGCAAGCATCAATTTTAATTGCCTCTGGGTGGGTGGGTGGGTTGGTTTATTATTTCAGCTGTATAATTTGGAGGGGGATTGCTTATCACTTTACTGTCATGTAATTCTAACGGTATTGTAACCATTTTGCTGAAATAAATAATCCAATCAAAATGGCTGTGACCTGAGTAATGTGGGCGGCATTCACAGAAAGAAGAATAAAGACATTATTTTTCTGTGATGAGGCAGCCCTTCTCAGTCTAAAGTTAAAAGAAGATCCAAGTTATCCATTCTGTAAGAAACCCAACTCGGTTGCTTTGCTCTGGCATTTTCATTAGAAATTTGTTTTAGAAGCATGATAGTTTTATGATCCGCTCTGCTTGATTTAAGAAACAGAAAGTTTTCCATACTATTTTTAAATGCTACCATTATTTTAAAAAAGTCCCTTGCTTGTACCAAAATAAATCATTCCTTCAGTGTTCACATTTCAGTAACCCTTAAAGGAGACACCTTGCAAAACCAGCAGCTTTGTACCGGAAATGTGGAAAGTTCATACCAAACAAAATGTACTTTGAAAGCTGGGCGTTTTCCCAGTGGTCATATGCATGGCTACTTTGCATTTAACCATCTATTGGGGAGTGGGAGGGGGATAAAATATGACTTAATAATGGACCTACTTATTTGCAAGTAGATATAAACTTGCCCCAGGAAATTTAGAATTTATTATGCTAGAATATTGCTAAATCAGGATAAAGCAAAATCAAAGTGGTTTGATGAATAGTCAGAAAGACGTTTTGTGATACTGTAATCACTGCATCTTCCTTAGCCATGGGAAATTCATCCAGTGACTTGAACAAGTCGTCATCCTGCCTTCTATACGACTTGACATAAAGCTATATTTTGTGGAAGGCAAAGTACAGATGTGATGACCAGAGCAGGCACTGCCACACAGCAGGAGAAAATGACTTGTTTTCTGAGTGATATAAGCTGTAATGGGGCATACATTTTGGTCATCATTTCAGGCAGAAAAATAATTTTCCCGCTATGGATAGCCAGATACCAGAGAGCGTGCTACTATTTTTTACAATCCTTTTAGTTGCAGACAAAAATAAAGTGTAATGATACTGAAGATCAGAGATTTCTGTTTAGTTGGATGGAAATATTTGCCCAAAAGCAGCCCTCTGTAATACAGCTAGTCCTTGATTTACAACCGGTCATTTAGTGACTGTTCAAAGTTACAACGGCACTGAAAAAAGTGGCTTATGAGCATTTTTCATACTTATTATGACTATTGCAACATCCCGTGGTCACATGATTTACATTCAGATGCCTGACAACTGACCCATATTTATGTTGGTTGCAGTGTCCCATGGACCTGTGGGTACCCTTTTGCAACCTTCTGACAAGTAAAGTAAGTGGGGAAGCCAGATTCATTTTACAACTTAACTGCAGTGATTCACTTAACAACTGTGGCAAGAAAGGTTGTAAAACGGAGTTTAAAACTCACTTAACAAATTTCTCACTTAGCAACACAAATGTTGGGCTCAATTATGGTCGTAAATTGAGGACTACCTATATGTGAGAGTCAGTGATAGGGTCATAAAGTCTTCCTTTCTTCACTGAAGATAGAATGTATGCTGCTATCCACTTATGATTCTTGACTTTATTGTACCTTATGATTCTTGACTCTTGACGAATGTATCTTTTCTTTTATGTCCACTGAGAGCATAAGCACTGAGACAAATTCCTTGTGTGTCCAATCCCACTTGGCCAATAAAGAATTCTATTCTACTCTACTCTACTCTACTCTACTCTACTCTACTCTACTCTACTCTACTCTACTCTACTCTACTCTACTCTACTCTACTTTACTCTACTCCATTCCATTCCATTCTCTTTTGATCTGTAGGAACTATACTGACATGGAATCTGTGGTTCCCATTACTGAGCCCCACTTAGATGCTATCTTGCTTCCCTCTAAAGCAACAGGTGACAAAATTTAACAAACTGGACATTACCTCGGAACAATGTCAGAGTAAGAAGATATGCACTATGGTGCTTATAGTGGGACTGCTAAGGAAGATTTAAGCCTGTCTCTGCCAGGACCGTGACTGTGCCCTGGTTAGGTATTGGAGGCACAGCTATATAACCTATGAAGAAGGTCGTCTTGCTTCCTATCAAACAGGGGAAACACCTTTCCTTTTC